ATATTGATTCAGCTCCAGCTCCGGCTGCATCTGTGCTGGGAAACACCTCCAATAAATCCTGTGATGAGGAGAAAGCACTCACGCTAATCAGCAGCACGATTCATTATAARGTTTATAGATTTCTGACCAGAGGTAAAATTTCTGCTGAAAGCAGGAGAGGGGGAGAGAAAAAGAGGGAAGCCTTCATTTATCCAACTGCAACTATGTCCAGAAATTCTTTGGAGCGAGAAAAGGACATTCACGGACATACCATCAGCGCAGCAAACACTGTGGAAGCATTTCCTGCTGCCAAGATATGTGCTGGCGAAGGAGGGAGGTTACCAGGGCACAGCCACCCATTGTCATGCAAATGCRCCGAGTTATTGAAGGGACTTCCCAGCAACAGCCGCATTTTTTCACGAGTTTGATCCCAGCATTGAAAGGGGAACAAAACAACCGCATGAACGTGAAGCAGCATTAGCCTAAGCCAGAATCACCAGCTATCGCAGAGCCCGGCCAGGACCGAACCTGCCTGTGGTGAATTCCATRGGCTCTACTGCTCTTTATTTGAACGGGAACGGGGAAAGAAACCAGCCCTGGAGAAACACGTGAGGTGCTTTTTAACGACATTGTTTTCCATGGTCTGTAAGTGACACTGAAAACAGTGGAAGAAAGTGACACACAGCCATCGCTCAGGAAAAACCAGGGTGCACGTTTCAATCACTTTTTGCTGTTTGGTGTTAACTTGCAATGATTTTGAGCTGAAAATGAAAAAGCTCAGTGGCAGAAAATGCAACTGGAAACAAGCTGTTTTTCAAAAAAAACAAAGCAGCACATACTTCCAGTTCTACCTTTATAAATCYAAATAATTTCTTGCCTTTTCTGATTGGCATTACTGTAGCTTGGCTTACTTTTTTTGCCCTTTTTCAGCCAAAGAAATGCATGGTTTCCAGCAGTGGCAATGACTTAACAGCAGAAGAACTGGTGTTTAAGTTTCCTTAGGTGAAATAAATAACTGAAGGTTTTCTTGTTTGGTTTTTTGTTTTTTTTTTGTTTTTTTTTTTTTTCACAGAGGTACCTGTAGAACAGGAACTGCTGGTCAGAAAAAAATCAGAGGTAAAAGATGGTTTATCTGCCTCCACAACAAAACCAGTCACAGACCATCAGGCCCTTCAAAATAAGCAGATATTTAGCACTAAGAGAGTCCTCTGGCCAAGACTAAATCAAAGCTTTCCCTCAAATCCCTGTCAAGGTTAATCCTTTTCATACTTAACAGTCACCTTTCAAATGCTTTCCTAGAAACTGCACATGGCATCTATTGATTTAATCAAAGACCTTTCTGAACTTACCATTCCAGGCTGAAGTGCAGAAGTGAAGAAAACATGAAGATGTGTTCCTACATTTGAGCGCTGCCCTAGCTGACCCACATCAGGGTGGGCTAAACTCAYGTTACCTAAAGGAAAGGAAGAAAATTGGCTCGACTGATTTGCAWAAAAAGGGTAAATGCCCTAACAAAAACTTGGGCACATATCCAGAGGTGTCAGGGCAAACAGTGCACAGAAACTGGGGGGAGCACAGGCGGAAGGCCCAAGAAAGGCAAAAGAGGGAAGCCCTTCATACTCCCAAGAAAAAACATGGATTAGAAAGAGAAGTGTGGAATTACAAAAATTAATTATTAAAAAAAAATCAACTTTTCTAATCCATGAAAAAATGCRTTAGAAAAACCTGTGGGAAAGAATACCTAGAACCTGAAAGATGCCCATACGCCATCTCCCTGTGCCATATCCGTTGGAAAACTCAACTCTTTAGACCTAAGGAAAACATTTCTCTCCCTACCACCCTCAGCAATCCAGCAGTGACTGCAAGAATCATCATTCTYCTTAAAATGCTTGGACAAACCTTCCCAGGGAATGGCAGACAGCCCTGAGGCTCTGCCAGAACAAAGGGTGCCTGAGCAGCCAGCCTCAAACCCAGCTGGTGATGAGCCAAGGGGGAGAAAGCTCTGCCAGGCACCCCAGAGCTCTGGAGAAGGACGGGCCATGAGAGATGGAAGTGGGGGAGGCTGAGAGCTCCTTTCTGACATGTGCCCTTGTACAATGCAAGAAAAAACTCACACTGGAGGAGGGAAAATATAAAATAATCACCTTTGAGATTTGCACCTGCTGGAAGAGCAGAAAGTGCCTCAGGAGGAAAAGGCAATGCTGGAAAATTGGAAAAGGCTGTGGGGAATGAAGCAAAACCAGCATCTTCTGAAGGCAAAATCAACACAAAGAAGCCATAAAGAGATGTGACAATGACAGGAGAAAGCAAAAGCACAGCAGGGCCTAAAGCTTGAGAACACCCATAGTGCTTAGGGAGAGGGAAATTAGAGCGATGCCTGAAGATAACCATGAGCCAGGGATAGCTTGTGCTAGCCCCTAAAAATTTAATTTTGATCCACTGTGTGCACATCTGGATTTTTCCCTATTATCACAGMTCTCCAGACAAGGGAAGTCACAGCACCTTTACACGGAGCAGAAGAAAAACTCCACTAACTCTTCTGGGCAGCTGGATCACCACTCCTGGGCTGCTCGGGGCAGTCCTRGTGCTCAGAACATGGCAGGAAACTTAGCAGACTGAAATCTTAACAGAACCTGAGAGAGGTTCACTTTCACCCAGGCACAAATGATGAACTGACCTGGCCCTTCCAAGTGACCACATCCCCCTGGAATGTTCCCACAGCAGCTGCTGAGCAGACAGCCCTGGGGTTGCCCTGGGGCAAACAAGTTTGACTCCTGGTCTGCCTGTTCTGGTAGCCCAAGTGGTGAGGGACAGACAATCCCYGRGCTGCAACAAGAKCAGCGTGGGCAGCAGGTCAAGGCAGGAKATTCTGCCCTCTGCTCTGCTCCYRTGAGACCTCACCTGGAGCATTGTATCCAGCTCCAGGGTYTCCAACATGAAAARGATGTGSAACTAYYGGAGCAAATCCAGAGGAGGGCCATGAAGATGGTAAAGAGGACTGGAGCACCTCCCCYGTGCAGAAACTATGGGAGGGTTGGGGTTTTCCAGTCTGGAGAAGAGGCTGTGTGCAAACCTCATAGCAGCTTTCCCGTATCCGAAGGGGGCCTACAGGGAAGCTGGAGARGGATACTTTGTCAGGAGTTGTAGTGATAGGACAAGGAGTAATGGGTTCAAACCCAGGGGGGAAGTTTAGGTTTGGTATCAGGAACAAATCCTTTGCTGTGAGGGTGGTGAGGCACCAGAACAGGTTGCCCAGAGAGGTTTTGGCTGCCCCATCCTTGGAAATGTTCAAGGACAGGTTGGATGGGGCTCCAYTGCAGAGGGCTGGAACTGATGAATTTTAATTTTTCAATACAGGCCATTCTGGTTTTACAATTAATCCTACTGAGGACAAGTTAGCCAAACTAGCCTGTATGATTTAAAGGAAATACAGAATCTTYAGCAACACAAGCAGTAGAACTCTGCATAACTGCACAATTGCAGTACCATTACCATTCCTCAACAACAGATAAGGCGCTCCTCTTTTTCCATCCCCWGAACATCTTCATGGATCTAATCTTTCTGCAAGACCAGGACATGTTTCTATTTCTGGCAGTGATTTCATTCCGGGGAGTAATTCACGTGGTGACACTCCTCTCCTACACCCCTGTGGGCAGACCCCATCACTGTAACAACCCCTGCCCTTCCCTTTGCTCCCGCAAGAACAGCACTTTTCCACCCCTTTGGATGGGTGAAATCCCACTGCAAGCACAGCACTCCCTGCTCTCAGCCCCTCCAGCAAACCAGCTTTAGCAGAGTGTGAAATGTGTTCAGACCGATAGCCGCAGTGCWSGAAATRAGCTCCAGCAAGTTCCCAAAGCTCYYGAACAGCYGGCACCTCCGAAATCGCTCCCCAGCTAGGAGCCGGTCCCGACCCTGACCCGCAGCTGGCGCTGCTCGCCACAGGGAGCTGGCACCACTCCCGGCTCCAAGCGCCACCGCCCGGTGGCTTTCCCTATTGACACACAGGCATTGGGAACACGGAGCAGGGAAAGTGATCCCGGGCGTTTCTGAGAGAAGCTGGCATATTAAGGTGTACCTGAGTTCAACTGGAATGCCGCACCTCTCTTTTAAAACTCTTAATCACATTAGTATATTTAGCTTCCCAATTTGCCAGAGGAATCCCGTTTTTCTGTGAAATCCAGATGCCACCAGTTACRACCCGGAAAGAAGCCACTTCACTGCAAAAACAGCATGGCTTAGATGGATTTACTTATGATAATCAAAGTAACACACCCTGACTTAGAAGCAAGTCACAACTCAGACTAACTCTACTACAATTTCCTACTTGAAAAGAAGAAAGCTGTCAGTCTATTTCTCCAGCAGAAAGGTGACCCTTCCGGCTGAGCTATTAGAAACCTGGAGGCACAAGCTTGGCAACAGTGACTATGCAATACCTCTRGTCCTTTGCATTTAGAGAAAACTACTCCAGTAGACACATCTGAGAAGAGCTAAACCGCTGTCTGTACCTACTCAAATTTCAAAKATGATCCTTAAAATTATTTACAAACAGCAAGTTACTGTCAGGAAGTAGCTGAGGTCTCAGGCTTTCTGACACCTCCCCATGACATGCAAAGAATTAACCTCTCCAATTATGTTACCCTAATCCCTCATCCCTGCATAATCCCTTCTGTAATTTCTGAATTTCCCAATCTTCCTTCCTGTCACTGCTTTCTCCCCCCASTCTTCTGCAGGACACCAGAGGCACATCTCCACGTGAATAAAAMCCATTTGCAGTGAATGAATAGGTCACTGCACTAAATTGAGGCTCTCAGATCATAAAAAAACCAAAGTTTAAGCACAGACACCAACTGTCCAGCTGGTCTAGCACTGCAACAACCACAACCCAGTTTTGACACGGCAGGATGCAATATGGAAACCATGGCCACATGCTTCTCCACATGGAAATATTCCTATTTACATGCATCTTCCTGAAACCAGCAGAAGCTTCTAACACACCACCACTTAGAGACAACACAAAGTCAGGTAACGAAAATTTATTCTTTCAGGAAGTCACAGCCAGCTCTTATGCGACCAGGGCAGAAGCTGTCGATGATTCACTAAAATGAAAGAAAAGAGATAAAACAGAGAAATATTTATTGCAGAAGCAGTTTTTCAAATTTCTTGTCGAAAACAAAGCTTCAGTTACAAGTTTTAACTGCTAGTCCTGAGCTAAATCATGGCTTAGAAAGTTTTATGGTCTAAGACTTCAGTTGCATTATTACAACACAAATCCTAGGCTAACAGTACAAAATCACATTATTTCAAAACCTGACTAGCTGCACTTGAGTCTCCTCAGAGAAACAAGGCTAACCCTAACATCTATGGAAATCCTACGGTGATTAATTTTCCTAGAGAAAAACTACAATTATGTCCCTATTTGCCATTTCTTAGTACATTTTGAAAGTAATGTGAACTRTAAAGGTATCAAGAGCACAGTTTAAAGGGTTATAAAAATTGCCTAGTAGTGATTTCATTTGTTGGGACYATCATTTTTATCCAAAACTTCTTAAACRTCTTTTTATCCAGCAGTGTTTCATTAATTTAACAGTTGGTTATTTATGAAAATACCTGTTCTCTGCTGCCTGGGTTACTTACAAACCTATCACAGTGCACTCTTCACCCTCTGAAAAACAGCCCCAGCACAGTTTACAAGAGGAATGCAGGAGAAGACTTACTACTTCCAGTTGGGTGGCAGCACTCTCTTGGTTTTGTAGTAGCGAGCCAACCTATGGATCCTGCTCTCAATCAGAATCAGGCGGAACTTGGCATCTTTATCCTTGAAAACAAAGTTACAAAATTACATTACAACCAAGCACTACTTGGACCTCTCCATCCAGAATTCAGAAGAGTTTCAGTAAAACAAGTAACACACAGCTACTGCTAAAAACTTCTCATTTCCATTACCAAAGCTTCAGTAGTCAGAACAGGACCAGAAATACACGGCTTAAACAGTGCCTTTAAAATCCTTCACACAGAGAAAAAAAACACTGATCAAAATGTCTCCCCAGCCCTCAAAGGTGGGTTAACASCACACAAAGAGCTTTTGCTTTGTCAAGCTGTACATGAACTACTGTGCAATTTAAAAACACAGACACTGAATTATCTGATTAAGTGAGCACTCACCTTTCTGTTTCTCTCAAGATGCTTGCGAACAGCAACTGCTTTCTTGATCAAGTGATAAAGATCCTCTGGGAGGTCTGGGGCCAGTCCCTTTGATTTAAGGATTCTCAGAATCTTGTTGCCAGTTACAAATCGAACCTGGGCAACACCGTGAGAATCCCTCAGGATCACACCTGAAACAAACATTTATATCTTACACTGAAAAGCAAAAACATACACCAACAAATCTTGTGAAACTGACCTTACAGTGACAAGCTATCAAAAAAAGGGTCTTCTCCAAGTTAAAATTTAAAAACCTTTATAGTGGCAACTGAAGAAAGGGTAGACAATGAGTGAACAAAACTTAGAGAAGCTCAAACGCTTTATCTGGTAACACYTAAGACAATGACCCCCCCAATCATGCTCAGGCAGGTAACACATGAGGTGCTACAACACTATTGGAAAACTTTCAACAGGATTCATTACAGCTACGTATTCAATCACTCTATAGATCACTCTAGAAGGATTATTGCTTTAAAGACTACAGTAATAAAAATTAATTTACACAGCATACATAGCTCCTGAGCATATAAAGCTGTGTCATGCAAACATTTCAGCTCTGGAAGGGTCCAAACCCTAGGATTAGTCCATGATGCAGCTGAGATGCCTGGCTCAGTAAACCCTAAGCATAGGGCTAAYGGTATTGGAAAATTTCCTCCAGAAACTAGGCACACCAGTATGTCAGTMTGTGTTCCCTGTAACAACTATTAGTGGCTACTCCTAAACACAGGATATAGGATTAAACAGATGCTTCAAGTTTTCCACTTGGGGAAAAAACCCCMAAACCAACCCACTACCTCACCAAGTATATTTTTTTTGCAAGAACAAGATACATCATGTCACAGTGTGGGACTTRCTGATCCTTTTGAGTCCCTTCCAGCTCAGGATATCATTTTAGCACTCTTAGTGGTATCCACAATGAACACAGGTGCACCAGAAATGCTGTTTTCTTAGCATGTTATTTAATATAGGTTGAAGGAACAATTACAGTATTACAGTCAGAAAATGAGGGTTTGTCCCCATTCAGGAGTGGTTCATAATCCTTACCAATCTGRGAGGGAGTCAGGCCCTTTTTAGCCAACTTGTAGATCTGTTCCTTTACATCATCAGAAGTAAGTTTCAGCCACTAAAGAAAATTAGAAACAAAAAAGCCAAACTGATTAACACTGCTTAATACAGAGGCACAGGCTAGCCACATGAAAACTTCTAATAAATGGTAGAAACAGATGCTTTGCAATGCTTGAAAAARTAGTCAAGAACTGAAATTGCACTTCTAAGGATACAGAAACTTTTTTACAGGTAAGAAATCTATACTGTCAGTGAAATGTGGTGGGGAAAGGCTGAGATAAAGATGAGCATCTCCAACTTAAAAACTCCATAAAGCCACCAAYCAACTGCTTTATCATTATTTCATTTTAACTGCTACACCGGAAGCACAAAATTACAGACAAAAAAACCCACTGCCATTGAGAAGGAATTCTTTACCCATGCCATTTGGCAAATACAAAACTGAGACCCATTTAGCCACCTCTCGGTAAAGTACCTACAGAGGGAAGTGAAAAATCTAARTACACTAATTCAAAAAATGAAACAAACCTACCAGGATAGGACTGTGCCTTTTCTATTAATTTTATGTTAAACAGTACTGATAAAGACACCACCTCCATGATTATTAATGGAGAGACAACACCAACAAGCTAGGTAATCCTGACTTTCCATGAGCTACAGAAGCTCCTAATTTTTCTTCCTCTTTTAGCACTGTCACAGTATGAAGCAGAAAAGCACTGCAAAAATAAACATGGAAATGCCCTAAAGATTACAATTTAAAACAGAATATWACTAAGCAAAAAACCACCACAGGATTTTATAAAACAAATATAGCATTTGACCATATTAATTATTACTGAACTATTTAAMTATCAGCAGCACTTCAAGCAGCTTCATATTATCTTACTTTAAATTTTATCTATTTAATTTCAGATTTTGTGCTTAATTTGAAATTCTCATTTCACTGTTTTTCAYGCTTTCCCACATGCATCGCAAATTGTTCTTTCTGCCAACAGATCCTCCAAAAAATAGATCCCTGACCAACAATTAGTTGTGTTTTGAAAGCAATCGCTTACTCCACATTAGCGAACTCCAACGTGAAGAAGCTAATTTAATCTCTAAGAATTATCAGCAAATAGATTTTAAGTAATTGAAAAAGCATTTAAATAAAAGGAGGAACATGTAACAAATAACAACGAGGAAAAGAGACTTATATGCAAAACGAACCATCTGGCCAGAACACTTGTTCCCTCAGTACCCTAAGGATCATCGCAGAACTACAGAATTGTTAGGGCTCGAAGGAACCTCTGGACATTATCTAATCTCCCCCCAAGACACGGCCAGCTAGAGCAATTACACAGGAGCGCATCTATGTGGGTTTTGAATGACTCCAGAGAGGGGGGCTCCACGATCTCCCTGGGTAGCCTGTTCCATCACATGTCAAGGAAGCATTTGGACAGGCCATAATTCGAAAACGATGACGTCAAATACTATAGCACTCATTTCCCTTCTCTCCGTGGGCACCCCTGAGCTGCGCTGTGGGTCTCGGAGCGTGCTCGGGGCGGGGAAGGTTCTGGGGAAGGTACTCACCGTGGGCACGCTGCGCCTGTAGGGCAAGGCCGACTGGGACAAGCCCTTTCTGCGGGAAGAATCACATCAGACACTCAGCGTGCGAGCGGAGGGACTCGGCCCCTCGGCCGCGGCCCGGGCCTTCCCCAACCCCGCCGCCATGTCCCCGCGGCCGGCCGCCTTCTCCGCCATCCCTACGCGCGCCGGAGCGCTCCCACACCATCCTTCCCACCCCCGCCCCAGCTGACGGCGCCCCACGACCCCCCTGAGCAGCCCCAGCCCGCCCCCCGAGGGCGGCCCCGGCCCGGCCTGGCTGCTCACCCCGGAGCGTGCATGCGACCCATGATGGCGGCCGGGCAGCGGAGAGAGAGAGGAGAGAGAGCGGCCGCTTCCGCCCGCTTCCGCAGGAAGAGGCGGCCCGCGCCCGGCCCCGCCCCCAGCGCGCCACAGCCAATCAGCGCCGCCGCGCGCTCCCGCAGCCGCCCCGCCCCCAGCGCGCCACAGCCAATCAGCGCCGCCACAGCCCCGCCGCGCGCTCCCGCAGCCGCCCCGCCCCCAGCGCGCCACAGCCAATCAGCGCAGCCACAGCGCCGCCGCGCGCTCCCGCAGCCGCCCCCCCCAACGCGCCACAGCCAATCAGCGCCGCCACAGCCCGCCCCGCGCTCCCTCAGCCGCCCCGCCCACAGCCCCCCCCCGTCCCAGCACAGAGCAGGCCACGCGTTGGGTTTTATTCCAGAATAGTGTTTAATGTACTAACAAGAGAGTTACGGAGTCACAGCGAACCCGCCCGGCGCGGGGCCATATTGTACATCTTTATTCTCGTTTAATTGAAGTATTTGGTTGTCAGAGATACACAGACGGGGGGAGGCGCCCTGCTCTCGCTGCTCTCCATCCACCGCAGCGCCCCTGAGGGAACGCCCGGCCAGGGGAGACAGCGGGCCCTGGGGGAGCCGCGGCCTTAAGGCAGGTGACGGGGGGTCTACAYAACCCGACAGTTGTAAAAATAGAGAAAAGAGCCTTTACCAAACATCGCACATGCGTCCAGAGACAGGCAGCTGTAGGTCGTACAAAGGCAGTAATAAAAAGTTCAGTGCAAAGTTGGAGGTTAGTAGAGGAAGAGGTCCTAGCGTAAGCTACTGCTCTTGGATACCAACACAAGGTCTGGAGGGACAATTACACTTCTGGCTGCAGGTCAAACGGTGCATAAAAAGATTTTTTTCTTTTCATTGAACAAGATATAAAAAGCTGTTAAAACTACATTTTCAAGCTACTTAGCATACTGGTAAATTCCATCCCAATCAAATATTTCCCTCTTTCACATCTATCTTGGTTTTTCTATGCAGTACGGTAAATTCTTATTGCAACAATCAGTTTTCTTAATTGAGAATAGTGCAAAGAGGTGCAAGCTTRGTGCTGGTCCTCTACACATGAGGAGAGGCCAATGCCAAATCCCATAGAAAACATAAAATCCATGACCACAAAAAGCTCCAGCCAGTGACGATTTTGAAAAGGAAGGGAAAGGCACAAAATGAGTTAAGCTATGAAGAAGATTAAATCAGAAGTCAGGACATGTGCTAACAATAATACAGTACTATATATTTTTTTTTCAGTCCAGACAACTGTTAAAACTGCAAATCATTTTTTAAATGATTTTAGTTTAATTGTATTTTGTGCTGTAAGACACTGTGCTTTAATAGCAAACTGCAAAAAAGGCAGTCCATATTGCTTTCATTTTATTTCACAATGGAACGTTTCACAAAAACAGTAGTCTACTTTCCTGTGTTTAAGTGACTTGTGTTTCTAATGATGGAATGGAGTAAGTCTCAAAAGCATCAAGTGAGCAGGAAATACATCTAGTTAGTTATAYAGTTTATTATTTACAGGCTATATACTAAATGAAAAATATGCAGAAGATGCCTACTACAACTGGGATTTGTTAGCGCCCATTAGTATTGGCCCAGTTTCTAACATTCAAGATACCATTAGCTTTTTAATTGCAGTAATTCCTATGAAATTGGACCGTGAATTRTTTAGGCACCAGGAGATTCAAGTTTACTTCTCTCTTCTGTATTGAAGGGAGATTGGTCAGTAGCAGGGGAACGAAAATTGGGTTATAAAATAGGTTTTTAGTGTTGGGTGGATAGAAGACTTTCCCTGTATTATGCCTTTGTTCATAGTTGCATATTTCACTTGAAAAGTTTGCTTCAAGGTTTTGTACTAAAAAAGTGTGCAACTTCAGAGCTTTGTTTACACAGAACAYGAACATCCTAAACCCCAAATAAGGTGAACAAAAAGGTGACACCTGTAGTGCAGAAAGACCTAATTAAGGAACCAGTGGTATTAACAGGAGATAGTGACATATGCACTCCACTATCACAGTATAGTTCAAATCTRATGTTCCTTGGAATGAAGCGTTCTAGTGGGAGTAGTTCTTATTGGGAGTGAGAAACAGTATTGCTGTGAATTGCTAAAGAGAAAAAAAAGCAGCCAATTTCCTCTCTCAAAGCTGTTAATTGAACTAATGTCTGGCCTGCAATTCTTCTAGCAGTGGTGCTTTTCAACTAGAGGCCATATTCTCCCTGCAAGCACAGATGCAAATGCCACTTTGGATTAGTGTTTGAATCTGTTCCACACTTAATCACTGCAGTATTGAAAAGTTCTAGAAATTACAACAAAACCCCCCACTGAAAAGCTGGGCACATTTCCTACGGTACCACATTCAGCCAGTCTTAATTCAATTTTTGGAGACTATGGGTAGAAGATGGGGTAGAAAAAAATGTAGCTAAGTTGAACCAATTGTGAAGATCAGTGTAAGTGATGCTATTTGTAAATAACACATATTGGGAAAAGACTTCCAGTAGGACCTGCAAGGTATTAAATATGAGAATGTTCCCCCTTTTTAAGGAGCTGAAAGTYAATATGTATACATATTTAAATACCAGAAATGAGGTAAAAGAGAAGCATTTGAATTATAAGGCACCATTATTTACAACTTCCACTATTGGCACTCACTCCAATAAATCTTAGAGAAGCATGAATTTGGGATTAAATGTGATGCTAAGGAATTTTTCCAGCCCTTCAACCTTTCTACAGGTGTGCATGCAGCCACCAAAATCCGACCTGTCGCTACTTCTGTGATGTCTCGTTAGTAGTGGGAATGTAATCCTAAAATATGCAATTTCTTTGATGTTCTCCAGCATCATGTCATGGATGACACAACAGCGGCAACAAATTAAAAGCAAAAATGCACTGTATCCACAGGCCTAATGATCAAGTTGTTGTTCAACCAACCAGCATGGTCAAACTGCTCATCTCACTTTTACTGATGGTTTAAAAACCCCTTCCTTTATCCACAATTCTTAAACCTTTATAAATGATACTTTGATAACATCACATGAGCATAACCCATTTTTTTTTTGCAATCCTCCAAACTAGGCTACCTGAACATTGGTCCAATGTATCTGTTGAAATGGAGAGTCTCTTATTTTAAGATGTACAGGTTATCTTCAAGTAGGAAGATGCACAAAGCACAAGTGAATACAACTGTTCTGGTCTTAGTGAGGCGCAGAAATGAGTTCACAGATAGGGTACAGCAGTCAATCGATACCAGTTAACAGTCTCCTTGCTCAAGTTGAAGTCCTTTAGTGGGAGTGTAATTCCACCTAGGAAGAAGTTCTCACGTAACGATTCTGCACTGAGCACACTTAACTGAAGCTCCCTCTGTTTCAGAGTCTCCATGCTGTATCCATTGTACACGAGCTAGGAGGTGAGAAGTCAAGATTTTTCTGGTTAGAAAAAAGAAATGACCCAGTCTGCCCTTTCTTCTGACTGCCCAGTCACTGACAAGTGTCTGAACTGTATGTGGTGACCATTCAGTATGTCTGTATCTCAGACAAAGGGCTGAAGGACATCCCTATTTTATTTTGTGCTCCCAATGTTAAGTGTTTMAAAGGACTGGTGTTTTTCAACTGAAGCATTGCTTACATGTCAAGACTTCTGAATTAATTTTTCTCCATATCGTGAATCAGTGAATCCAGGGTAGGGGGATCTTGAGTTTTAAGATTTCTTTCCTTCTCCMCATCACTCCTCAGACCCAGTCTGAGAAATTTCTGCTTACTTGTAATAGCACACCGACCTACTCCGTTGCTTTATATTTAAAAAGGGCACAGTTTTTCAAAACAGTTCCTTTTCAGTTTCTTTTCCACTTATACATGTTCACAGATTTTTTGAGACAATATTTTAAGTACTGCTTAGAATTAGAGATTATAGCAAGCTATAGGGAGTTACCACATAAATTTTAACTTACCATTTCATTGAAAGTTGGGTTTCTTGTCTTCCGGGAGATTTTGGTTTTGCGTTTGGATGTTTTGTGCGTGTCTGGAAGTAAGTAAGTTTTCACATAGGGATTTGGATCTGCACCATCTTCTGTAACCTACAAAGAAACAAGACAAGTTAGAAAACTAATTAGTGCATAACTTTGCATATTTCAAGTGTCTAGACTTTGCAATCAAGCTAATCAAAAGCAGCACTTAATTAAGCTGGCAGTTGGAAAATTCTGAGGAAAACACAGTTCCACCTGCATCAATCTTAGTCAAAATGGTAATTGAAAACAGTTTTTGGCAGTGAGTGCAGTATCTCCACTTACCAGGTCTTTGATGTGCATCACCATGATAAATAGAGTGCTATTTCTATAGGATATGGACAGCTTCACTTCTCCTCCCACTTTGCCTGAGGTAGGACTTGATGGACTTGTATCTGAAAAATAGACAAGTATTTCTTCTGTAATACTGGTAATTTTTCATCAGTGCTACATTTCTCTCATATGGAAAAAACATGCCTTAGAACAAGTTCAGTTCCTGATTTTACTTCTAGTTTCCTAACAGTGGCAAGGCTATGGKTTTTCAAAGTTTTTGCATTTTCTTGCAAGAACCAGCTTGGACGTTTAGAGTGAAAACCTGAATAATTTAGTCAAGCCATAAACAAGTCCAAGTGATCACATATATTGTTGCAATTTTTGGCATGAATTTCCTTGAAACTGTATGTAGGCTCATTTGGAAAGACAGTGATGCAGTTTACAATGAGAGAAAACTGCAGTTAACTAAAAAAAAGATTTAAAAGATTAACACTGTAAATGTGTCATACTATATTCATCCAATTTATAAACATCCCTTACCTGCAGGTCTGGCTATTCCATCTATTCCTTCCACTTTGTCATCACGAAGTAATGGATGGAAAAAAGTATAAACAAGATCACACTAAATTTGGAAGAAATGTTACATGTTAGTTTAAGTGTTCAAAAGTGTCAAAACAGGAAAACTTGCATTTGATTTAAATTATTTGTACTCACTTCTGCCACCTCTGGAGAACTATTCATCAGGCTCTGTATGTAGCTGTTGAGCTCCACT